CATCCGGATGGTAGTGGTAGATGAAGAAGGTGTGATGTTTATTAAGGGGGTGGGGGAAGGTGAGATATCCAATAAAAAAATCATTGAGCTCGGCTTGAGCTGAGTGAGTTGTGCTGGTGTTTATGTGGGTGTGTGTGAGCAATACCGTAGATGTCATGAGACGGTGGAATCAGGTGCTCCTCAATTTTTGGGCATTCAGAGTTATTGGTTTCATCTTATAGCTTGTTCACTTGTCTTGCTTTCTATAGAAAAAAATACCCGTCTATTTAAATAGAAGTAGAGATATTTGGGATTGAAGGAGGTGGGGGTCACCTATTTTCACAGGTAAAATAAGTGAGAAAATGTTTGCCAAAACTTTGGTGACTTTAATAAAGCTCGAGAGTCAATGGAAAATGAAAATTTTTATTTTATGTGCCTTTAATCAAAATTTTTCTGTAAAATCCACTCATAAATGTAGCCCTACTTTTAAATGAACATAAAATGTGTTGAGCAAAAAGACAAACAATCCATAAAAATGGGCAAACTGGCAGAAAAATGGCGGTTCCGTCAATTTTATTATTTTGACGAGTGCTTGATTTCACTACAATGCCTCACTGAGTCACATGTACCTCATTGCTCCTACATTGTTTGCCATGTATGTGGCGTGTGTATTCTGTTTCACTCTCCCTTACGTAGGCGGTTGCGGGTGCTCTGGTGTGGTTTGCTCCTTCTTTCCTATCAAACATTTATCATCCTTATCTCTCCTTCCTCTTTTATATGTTTGTTACTCTCTTGTAACACCTCTAATCTTCTGGCGCTCATATGACCTTAAGCAGTTGCGAGCGCCGTAAAACCTCCACTAAAACTACCCTAAAACTCTCCCTTCCGCTGTGTTGTTCACAGTACTGGCGATCTACTAAGCTTCAAGGCACATGACATAGCTGAGCAGATGACTCTACTCGACGCTCAACTTTTCCAGAAGATTGAGGTGAGGTGCAATTCGCTCAGTACTTATTTCTTTAACCCTATCCGTACGCCCTGGCGTCATTTTTGTACCCCCAGGGTTGTATTCGTCACATTTTAGAATACTTCCAGTACGAAGATCTCTTTGAAACTTTCAGTATTTCTCAAAAAATCGTTTTGACAGACTACTATGCAAAGAGTACCGATTGGATTAACGAGTAAATTTCCTCTTTGGAAAGTGGTGGCACAGAGTCCCCCACGTCATGTGGATACGGTAGTAAAACACGACGTACGGATAGGGTTAAAAAGCAACAAAACGAACCATGTCTACTATATGTTTGAAATGTGACTTCTCCCCCCCCCCCCCTCTCTCTCTCTCTCTCTCTCTCTCTCTTCTCTCTCTCCCCTTCCTTTTCACCCTCTTTCTGTCTCTCACTCTCTCTCTCTCTCTCTCTCTCTCTCTCTCTCTCTCTCTCTCTCTCTCTCTCTCTCTCTCTCTCACACACACACACACACACACACACACACACACCTTTCTTTGAACAAGCTTGCCAGTATGTCATATTATCTGACAAACTCCTGTCATGGGACACAGGAAAGGCCTCAGACTTTTGCACTATATTGTCCTTCAAAAGAGTGTTGTTTCTGAAATTCGAGGGGAATAAATTATCACCAAGGCTCAAAGTGCACTGATTGACACGCAGTTGACAATTTGGGAGCGAGCCTATGTCAGAGAAAAGTAATGTCAATTTCGAAAATGACCAGATCAAGATTTTCAACAGCACGACAAGCAAATTAAATTCCTTTAAACTTTTCAGATTGCATAGTTTTAAGCTCTGTTCGTGGTCTATTTATATTTGATGTGTCATGCATGTGGAGGGGAAAATTCCTGCTTTTACTTTTACAATTGTGGATTTAAAAATCTAGGCAATCCCATAAAGAAAATATTTCTTCAGCAAAATTGAAGAAATAATGGTTAAGATGATCTGTAGCTTCTTCTGTGGTCATGCATGAAGCGGGAAAATTCTAGTTTTCACAATTGTGGATGTAGAAATCTAAGACAATTCCATGAAGAAGACTGATGACAGACTTTCTCTCTCTGCCGCTCAGTTTTAAGCTCTGTGTATGGGAAATTCCTGTCTTTTACCAAAAAATTGTGGATGCAGAAATCTAAGACAATCCCATGAAGAAGACTGGTAGTGGCGACAGATTTTTTCTCTCTCTGCTGCTCTGTTTTAAGCTCTGTTTGTGGTCTGTTTCTATTTGATGTCTTTCATGTAGAGGGAAAATTCTATCTTTTACCAAAAAATTGTGGATGCAGAAATTTAAGACATTCCCATGAAGACGACTGATAACAGACTTTCTCTCTTTGCCGCTCAGTTTTAAGCTCTGTTTATGGTGTATTTCTATTTGATATTTCATGCGTGTAGAGGGAAATTCCTATCTTTTACCCAAAAATTGTGAATGCAGAAATCTAAGACAATCCCATGAAGAAGACTGACAACAGATTGTTCTCTCTCCGCCGCTCAGATCCCCGAAGTGCTGATGTGGGCGCGGGAACAGTCGGAGGAGCTGAGCCCCCATCTGACCACGTTCACCGAGCACTTCAACAAGATGTCTTACTGGTGGGTCTTGTGGGCCCACTTCTGCTGGGGGCTGCTCTTGTCTGCGTTATGAGGGGGGTGTTTTGTGTTATG